CCCCCCCCCCCCCCCCCCCCCCCCCCCCCCCCCCAAAAAAAAAAAAAAAAAAAACTGACAATCCCAACCATAGCCTATGAGATGGACATTGAACATCCCAGCCACAACCACGCCCTGACGGCGAGCTGCATGAAGGCATCTTACAAAATGGAGCAGACTGGACATTGAACATCCTGGCTACGGCCAAGCCTACAAGGTGAGCTGCTGCTGCATGAACATCCGCCCTCACAAGCTTCCGTCAATCCACAACTCCCCCGAGCTTCCCCCGAAACCACAGGTGAACATGCTGAGGTATCCGGAGGCCATCTCAGGACGTAGGGATTCGCCTGACACACCAAACAAATCCCAGCCAGAGTCTAAATGTGCCGAAAACGACAACTGTCAAAAGCCGGATCGAGCTGCATTCGTTCCCAACTGACCCGCGATCTCAACAGGCTCCCCCCTGAAGGTGTCACAATGCCTCGATCAACACGCGAAACTCGTCATAATTCCGTAGACGGATACTCTTTCTGGGAGTGACCAAGGACCACCTTGAGACACACTTGTCTGGGCCATTTGCCCAAACAACTTCACTGAGAAACGAGACTTTCCAAACAAACATCCCCTGTTTTTTTTTTCCTTTTTGTTCTTTTCCTTGCCATTTGCGAAGTTTGCATTGCATACCGACTTCATGGACTTTTCACGCTGGTTTGTTATCGTCTGTTCATCTCCAAAACTCCGTCGTGGGGACCGCCATTCCATCGTTTTCGCCATCCATTTTCCACATTTTCTCCTGGACTGCATCGTCCTGCTTCCTCGTTGCCCTGTAACCTCCCTCCATACTCCATTCACAATCACCATCTGCGGAGCCGTCAACAGCTACACAGCCTAGACCCCATGTTACGTCATGCATCCCCCGAACTCGTGAATCATCGATGACCACAACGACAACACTCTGTTTAACGGAACTCCAACCACCACTACCTCCGACTACCAAGCCATACATATTTGTTGGCTGGTGCGGTGCCGGACTGGTCCTGCAAAGTGACAGAGTCGATTTTTCAAGCCATTATCCATACATAATTTTTGGCCTCTCATGTGCCAAACTGGTCCTGCGAAGTGACGGAGTCGATTTTTCAAGCCATACATAATTTTTATCCATACATAATTTTTTCAAGCCATAGATAATTTTTATCCATAGTATCCATACATAATTTATCACCGGGCATGTGCCAAACTGGTCATGCGAAGTGACGGAGTCAATTTTTAAAGCCGTACACAATTTTTCGCTGGTCAGGAGTCAAACTGGTGATGTGAAGTGACGGAGTCAAATTTTCAAAACAGTGGATGCCCCATGAACCCCAAAGAGGACTTGTTTGTGACACCTCTGTTTCAGTTTTTGGTCCCATCCAAGCCGCCTCCTCACTCCACCTCTCCCAGGTCTTTTTGGTACGCGTCCGATCACCACCTTCTTCACCTGAATAAAACACCCAGTCATTATGCAGGGGGCAACTTCCAGTCGCCATGCAGCGATAGTGACTGGGCGTTCTACTCAGGAGAAGATGGTAGGCTAGGCAGTGGTGCGGCGGGTTTAATTAGGAGCCCCAGTGCATTGCAGCTCACGTTTGTGCACAATCACAGCAAGATCACTCTCCTTAAACCACCAGTACTTGGCCCGGCTATCGCAGCCAAGCCTGGAAGTGCCCTGCGCGCCGTTTCCCGCCGAAACGCCCATTCGATTTTGGTTTTCGGAGAGGCTGGCGGCGCCAGCCTTCCAGGTCCGGTTGCCCAAAGCGCGAACTTCGTGTAGCGTTAACGCTAAGGCCCGCGGCCGATATATGGGCCAAGTACTGGTGGCTTAATCCAGCAAGATCACTCTCCTTGTTAAGCAACTGCACAGGGATACCAGCAGTGTGCCGTTTCCATTTGTTAAGCTTCAATGTATTCGACGAAAGACAAACTAAACTCGTCTCGCCAATTCGTTCCATTCGATCTAACTCACTCTGGGCAATGCTCTTTGACAGGGCACTGATGCCCGCTTGCATTGATGTCGCGATTAGCATTCACCGCGAGCTCGTCAGTCGCATTGAGGCAGGCAAGCAATGTGTCAAGGATGCACAAGACGTCATCAGCGACCGCATTTGGGTGTTCATGACGACACATAGATAACAAATCTCTTTCTCAAAGTACATTTGGACGTACGAGACTGCTGCCAGAACGGAGAAGAAAACTGCACCGACAATTTCCACATCGAAGTTGAGCTCAAATTCCGATAACATAACAGAAAAAGATGCCACGGGCCCTGACGGCAGAAAACTGCATCCAAGGCCATCAATCACACTATCGCTCAGATAAAAAAAATTCTGTCTCACAATTCTGTCAAACTCCTGGACAACATTTTCTCACTGTGTTCCTGGCCATGGGATGGGCAGCATCTGGACCAGACACTGCATTCGCCAGAACTTCCACTCTCGTTCGAAAAAAAAATGTACGCCAAATCGAAGAATGCAACTCACGTATAATAGATTAGAAAACGATGACCGATCGGGTTCGATCCCACAGAACTGCCTTGAAGACCAAAAGCATTCAGGAGCACAGGGATTTCCACAAGTACCAGGAACCGGCCATCATCCGAGGTCCAAAACGCGTCCTGCAAACAGCATGATCCAGTCACAAAGCACTCTTAGAATCAGGAAGTACGACGAAGGTTTCACATTTGAAGAATGCACAGTTCAGATGCCAAGCCAACCTTTATGGATGGCAATCAAGCGTACCTTCCCCCCTAGCTTCCCCCCTACCTTCCCCCCTACCTTTCCCCCTGTGGCTGTATCGTGCAAAATCAGAAATGAAGCAACAGTCAGCAGCAGTCGCATCAGCAGTTGGCAGACCTCTGGCCAATCAGCTCTGACCTGCTCACCAGCTGATCGGCGAATAACCCCCACTTTACAGCCGGTCTGCTCTCTCAGAAAAGAGAATGAAAAGGAGTTCGAAACTGGGGAGTCCCTTCTCCAATGTCGCCCCGTGTGATCCTCCGCCTACTTTTCTCCTTCTCCTCCGCCTCCTCTTATTCTCCCTGCCCATTTCAAAATGCTCCTCATCCTCCCGCAGGAGTCTCACTTCCACATGGTCCTCTATGAATCATTTTAAATTTTAAACCACCTTCCATCTTTTCCTCCAATCCTCCTCCTCCTCCTCGATCAGTCGGCAAATGCAATACCACGTTCCCTGTGGCACACATCAAGAGTCCCTTTTCTTTTATTTCTTTCCTTCTCCCTTCCTCCTCCTCTGGACATGCTTTGCGGAGCTCACCTCCACGGTGAAAGACCACTCTCATCGCTGCCATCATCGGCAAGCGAGGAGGCAAATAGTCAATCAAACAGCGAAATAGTCAATCAAGCAGCGAAATAGTCAATCACACTGGCAAATAGGTAAAAGCACGCAACTAAGCAACGGAGGGTATTATAGGCAGGCACAGCAAGTAGGAAGAAACAGGCAGGGGAAATCATGGGTAGGGGCAAAAGAGGTGTTCCTATGAAATAGTCAGCCAGGCAGGCCGATAGTCGACCAGGCAGGCAAAGAGTTAATCAAGCAGGCAAATAGATAAGCACACAACTAGGTGACAAGACATATAGGCAGGGAGCAGGTAGGCAAGCAGGAAGGTCACCAGGTAGGGACACACAGGAAGGGGAAATCATGGGTGTATAGGCAAAAAGATGCGTCTCCCAGTTACCTCATAACCGACCCATTCCGGACCCCATTCGTGGCGGATCACGCGCATGTAAAACGGACTAGCAGACTAGAATACTGCCAATGAAACAGCAGCCACTCCCAAAGCCGTCAGGAGTGCTGAAATGAAGTTGACCGTGTTGTTATTAAGCACATGGTATCCAGAGATATGTTTCACTGTTGCTCCTGGTCTGCTCACAACCTGGGAAAATCAGAACAATTCAACAATATTATTATTATTATTATTATTATTATTATAACGGGTATTATTACGAGTATTATTAAGACAGCAAGGAGTCAAGTTCATTACTATTAATTATTATTATTATTATTATTATTATTATTATTATTATTATTACAAGTATTATTAAGACAGCAAGGAGTCGAGTTCATTACTATTAATTTTATTATTATTATTATTATTATTATTATTATTATTATTATTACGAGAATTATTAAGACAGCGAGGAGTCAAGTTCATTGTATGGCTTGCAAGGCAGGTGAAACACAAACAGTTCATCGCCAATTTAATATTTACAAGCAGAAATGATAAACCTAAGTACATTTAAAAAAGGAGAAGAGCTCAACCTATCAAGAGGAGATGATCATGTTTACAACCTGAAAAAGGAACGTGATGATCAGTACTGTCTTCCCCCGAGTGGAATGTACAGTGACTACAGTTATTATAGCTGTATTCGGCACAACTTCAAGCCTAGATACAGCGATAATGACCGTAGGTTCTGTTCGTGCAAAGACAGTAGTTTGGTGCGGTTGCCGTTAACCATTTGTTCAGCTTTGTTGTCACCAAAATGGTCAAATAAATGCATATGCGTATTATGCGAGGATTCAGCCCTCACAAATGGCCGCTAGGTTGTGGCCTCCCAATGCCCAAGGAGCCCCCAACAAGCAACGTGCCCACCCTACGTGAAGACGGGCCTGAATTTGACAGAGGGCCCCCAACTTCGTCATTTCTGCATTGTGGGCGCCAGACAGTTAGCACGAGCCAGTTGGTTACATAGGCCCATCTCATGAGCATCAGAATCTTCCGAGAGCCTTCCAGGCTCTTCTAAGCTTGGACGTGGAAGCTGGTCTCTCGGCCAATCGGCAAACAGAGAACACGTCACAGCCTCTGTGGGTAGTTGGGGGGCACCTAACTGTTGCGGGCCCAGGCCACTCTCTGAACCGTGTCGACGGGACGGAAGGATCGGCCGGCCTGTGGATCCGACCCTGTATCCTGCCCGCGTCTGTCACCCGCGGGAGGGCCGTTTCTGGGCTCCTGCATCCTGCAAACACCTAGTGAGTACCGATAAATTCAAGATGCAGAGTCTAACAATCTACAAGACGTGGGCACAAATGAACAGGGTCGTGGAAACTGCCATTCCATAACTGTCAATTCCATCTCATTGAAATTCGTCTCGTCACATACTAGATCTGACCGTAGCAGGTCTAGTCTCGGTCTAGGTTCCCATCAAATTTGTGATCTCAATACTAAGTCCAGTTTCTCAGAACTTGAAATCCGACCGCCAGGTGTCGTCTATTTGACTTAGTCCGTTGTCAGACTCAAGTCCGAGCCCGCTGGTCGCCGCGAATCCCTTCATGAGTCTCCTGTCTGTCGCCGATTCAACCCTGACTTCACTCTTCGTTGGGAACTCTGATTCTCGAGCTCGAGTCTGGGACCTGGTCTGCAGGAAGTTTCCTGTGCCTGATGTTTCCGTGCCCTGCTAATGTCTGTTGTGCCCACAGACTTTACTGCAGAGTTTCGAACTTGCTGCGTCAGCCTGCTGACTACGGCATACTAGCCAACAACTGAAAGCACGGAGTTGGGATTGTTAGGGACTTTTGAGTCTTAGTCTTCCCCTGTTTTCATCATATCAGCTGCGTGAGCACGTTCCTCACAGCCACACTTCTCCCCCGCCACAAAGAACTTGCCTTTCAGAACGACTGATCACGACGTGTGCTCATTACCACGGACTACAGGCGGGAGGCTCTGCAATCTCTCTTTCGGCTTGTTCGCGCAGTGAACCTCCGTAAGTCCTTATTTGCACGCGTACAGTGAGCGAGCGATCCATGTGCCAGCAAGCTAGTGGTAACCATTTTCATAGCCGTTGGAGAAAGGACGGAAGGCGTGTAGATCCCGCGTCCACCGCTCCCCACCATCATTCAGTGTAATGACAGTCGGTACTACAAAATCACACGCAACAAAGAAGGGTGGGTAAGTCGTAACAGCCTTGCTGCCATAACTTTCGCCGCTTCTCCCTCTCCCCTCTCTCCTGCTCGCGCTCTTATGCTTGCGCGCGCACTGGTTAGGTGACGAAGCTTTGGCTAGCCTACGATACTTCCCCCCGCTTGCCTGTGCTTGATTGAATCTCTTCATTTCGACATTCAGAGTACTGAGCAGAAAATCACAATGCGTCAACATCCGTTGAGACCATCGCAAGGCTTTGAGCTCCCCCTCCGTGCGGCAGCTCCTTTCTTCCCGCGCCCCTCCTGGCGCACTCCTCTCTCTTGCGCTTGCGTGCGCACGTGCGCGGCATCACGAACTCACGGAGACTCGAACTAGTGTCAAGCGCAACAGAGTCTTCTTTCCCCGCCGATTCCTCCAAGCCCATTCTCTTGACAGTCATTTCGCAGGAAGGTATGCACGTCGCTAGTTACCCCATCCCTTGGCTGCGATCTCGCAGGGTGGTAGATAGGGATGGCGGGAATCTCGTCGATCCATCCATACGCGTCAAGAATTAGAGGACTCCTCCTTCCCGCCGATTCTTCAAAACCCGTTTCAGTAGGTAACGGCAGTAGGAGTCTCGTTAATCCATTCATGCCCGTCACTAACTAGATGACGGGGCTACGGCTTCTTTTCCCGCCGATTCTTCCAAATCCCGTTTCCCTGGCTGCAGTTTCGCACGATGGTAGATAGGGACAGTGGGAATCTCGCTAACCCATTCATGCGCGCCACTAATTAGATGACAAGGCATTTGGCTAACTTAAGAGACTCATAGATACTCCTGCCGTTTACCCACGTTTGGTTGAATCTCTCCACTTTGGCATTCAGAGCGCTGGGCAGAAATGACATTGCGTCGACATCCGTCACGACCGTCGCAAAGCTTTGTTTTAATTAAACAGTCGGAGTCCCCTCGACTGCGCCGATTCTGACTTCCTCTCTCTCTCTCTCTCTCTCTCTCTCTCTCACATAGCCTGCAGTAGCTTCTTCCCCGTGCGCGGCTCGTTCCTGCACTGCTCTTTCCCCGCACACGGCTCTCCTTTTCCCACGGTGACTTCTCGACGTCCACACACCCATCGCTCTGCCTCGGGACCATCCCCGGAGCTTTCACGCCCCATTAAACTGCGCAAGGATTCTAACTACCTCTTCTGCGGCTACGCTAGTTGCTGCTCCCTCGCGATTCCACAGCTTCCTCGTTCCTGTGTCAATACTCTTCTGCAGCTACGCTAGTTGCTCCCTCACGATTCCACAGCTTCCTCGTTCATGTGTCAATACCTGTCTTTGAATGGATCTCGTGCTTGACCGTGGCCAGATCCATCTGCCTACTTTAATTGGTTCACTCTCATCCCGCATTTGGGCACTTAGTTCTCGTATGGTCGTTCGTGCAATCCGCCACTCCCACCTGGCTCGAGCGCAACATCTCCAGCCTCGCAAGCAGCTTGTTTCCATTCGCGAGCAGTCCGTGCCCAGCAGCTCTCCACGCGCGTTTCCCGTGCGGGCCCGCTACTCCCTGCAGGCTGCAGCTCCACTCTCTTGTCCCTGTTTTGATTAGTACATTCCCTGTATCAAGTTCATCAACTGCTGTGTGCAGGGAGCATCGTTTCGCGTGTTTGCTTTCATCTCTCTTCTCAAGAGGTTGAAGCCCGGGCAGAAGCGACAAGGGGCTGTGTCCAGCTCCATACCCCTGTGCTCATGAAAGACATGTGAGTCGGGTTCGTTCCCTGCTCACTGCCAAGGTTGTTTAGCTCGAGCTCACCTTCCTGCCCATGATGACGGTGGCTGGAGTTGAGCTTGTTCTCGTTTCATGATGAAGGTGATTCGAGTCGAGATCGACCTCTTGACCACGATGAGGGTGATTTTTTTTCTTGAGTGGCTCGTGTTCTCTCCTTATGATGAAGGTGGATTGTGAATCGGGCTCGTCCACGATGAGAGTAGTATGAGTTGCGCTCGTTCTGTGTCTCACGAAGAAGGAGATTCCTGTCGAGCTCGATCTCCTGTCCATGATGAAGGTGATATGAGTCGCGTTGTTTCCCGTGTACCGATTGGCTCTTCCTCGTGTGCGCTGACTGGCTCTTCCCTGTGTACGCTGATGAGCCCTTTTCGGTGCGGGCTGATGAGCCCCTTCCCGTGTGCGCCCCTTGTGCACTTCAGGTGCACGACACTACCTGCTCGCTCGTGCGTTCCAAACGCCCCCCCCAGATCGGAGCCCGAGCGCCTAGGGACCAGCCGCCCCTCCTCGAGCCAGCCCTCATGTGCCGGCCCAGTGCGCCTTTCTTGTGCGCCTCCAAAAAGCCCCCCCAATCCGGGCCCAGTTGGGCTTATATAGTTTGTTGGGTCCGACTTCGCATGCCTCACCTGTGGCCACAACTTCCCAAGTGTCGGGCGCTGTCGAGAAACTGCAGTGCCCCGGTACCGAGCCTCCTACCAAACCTAGGCCCGGGCCTATTTGGTGCCCCGAAAAGTTACTTGCCAAGGAGGCCTTTTTGTCGGGTACCGGGCCTTTTGCAGCGTCTTGGTACTAGGCCTACCCCCGAGCCTGATTCTGGATTTGTCTTGGCCCTTAGTGGAAATTAATAAGGCCGGCCTTTTTGTCGGGTATCGTGCCTTTTGCAGTGCCCTGGTACCAGCCCTGCCCCGTCGGAATGCCCGGCACAAGTCTTAAAACACCACCATCCAATAACTATAATCCAACGATTGTTCCAAGTTCGCCCACCCAATCGGCACTTCGCCGTTCTGTATTCAAATTCCCCTGTTTTTATTAAATTAATAAATCATCTGATAATCGCCAATCCTCGGAAGAATCACCCCCATTGGTCCACGTTTCGCCTCAGTCGCGTTCGAGTCTGGTTTTCCCATGTCGTCTACGCCCCCTTTTCCAGTTGTCTTTCGTGGCCTCCGACCGTAAGGCAAAAACAGTCAGAAGAGGCCATTGTGCGAAATCCGACCCCCAACTGTAATCTTTTCAAAGGAAGTAAAGCGGCGCAAGGCTTGGGCCGCCCGACAACGGGCCTGGGCGCAGACCCGTCAGCCCGAAGTGAAGCTACTGGGCACTCAACGTCCAGGCCCAGGAGCTAGCCAGAGCAGCACTCTCACTTTCCATAAAGGAATGTGAGAGCCCAGCGAGGGGACATTCTGGCCTGGCAAGGCATAGCGGCCACGCTGCTGCATTGTGCACTGGCATGCTGCCTGGGCGCTGGCCAGAGGAAGGCGCATGCGGGCACAAGACGTGAGAGGGCGCTGTGGTGGCAGCAGGCACACGGCGGCCATAGCTGGGCTGGTGGGGCGCAGGCTGGTGGTGACGATGGTGGTCCTCGGGTAAGGGGCGCATGCTGTGGGAGGACGAGGGGTGATGAGGGGAGGAGAGAGACACGTACCTGGTGTATGCTGGCAGTCTGCATTGGCGATGTTCTCACGCACATTGGTCTTCAGCTTCAAAGTGATTCTTGTTGCATGAACGTAAAGTAGGCTGAGTAGTATAGGCTGGGCGCTGAGCGCCAATCAGGAAGAGCAACATTGGATACTGTGTTGATGTGGCAAGAGAGTGTCGACGGGTCGACATTTGAGTTCATTGTATTGCTCTCATTTGGCTTGTATCTCGGTGCATTGTGCTTTCTGCTTGGTTCTCGACTATCTGGCCTACAGCGTGATTTTGCAACTCGGATTTCTGTCTATTGCTCTCACTCATATTACTTGGCACATACGTCAATCAGAGTTGGTGCGACTCAGTAGGGCACTTCTCGGTTTCTTCAAAGGTGGGCACAGGAGGCGAGGGCTGGTAGTTTTTTTTTTTTTTTGTTAGACGATTTAGGATCCGCTGTACACAGGCGATTTCACTGAAATTATCCACAGCCTGAAGCAGCAGTTCAAGCCGGGAAGCAGAAAATCCCCGGCGATTGGAAAAAAATGCTCAAATTGCTCCCTTCCATGCTAGTGAGTATGGCAAGCATCTAGCCTCCGCTGCACGCCTGCAGGCAGAAGGTGCATTGGAAAGGGAAAAAGTTTGAAAAACAAAGACCTGTCCTCTGTATCGACAACCGAAGGAGAGAAAAAAGATCAGAGTCAGCAGTCCAAAACCACACTCACTTTTTCACATCACAGGCAGTGAAGATGAAGTCCCAAACCCATCCTGAGATTCTGCTGAATTGAAACCCCGTAACCTCCCTATATAACAAAATGGCGTAGCTCAGTTGGTACACCCTTGAACTGTTGAAAATTGAAATACAGACCTGAGTTCAAACTCCACTGGAAGCAGATGAGTAAAGTACTGCAGTAGTACAGTTCTGATTCTTCTGAATTAACTTCAATTAAGAAAAAAAACAAAAAAAGATGTTCACTGCCACAAAAATTCTGCTTCGTTTTCTTTGTTGAAAAGGACGTCGGGCTCGAGGTATCACATCATGGAACTGACCAGCGTCAGGTAATTCATTCAGACTCGCTTCATTCTTCTGATTCCTCAACGGTTTCAACTCAGTTCTGTATATCAACAGCTCATGGGTGTCCCATTCACCCACATCGGCCGAGTGCCGAGAACAAAATTCTACACTTCTCGTGGAACTCAACGCTTCTCTCCGCGGAGACTCCACAGACCACAGTCAACAACAATCCTTTAAAAAGGAAAAAAAAAAAAAAAAAACAGGGCCTTACGGTTCTGGCTCAATATCCATTCTATGGAGCGTCAGTCCGGTTGCTCCATGAAAATGAAGTACTGAATGCTAATGAAGTACCGAATGCTGTTTCAGGGGTCCTTCGGCCAGAGCGAAGGACACGTGCATGCGTGATATGTTGCGTCAGTCAATGCTCTTTTTCTAACCAAACGGACGTCAGAGTTCTCTGCGCATACTGCAATGATCAAAATCAGCCTTGGAGACGAGAACATGTGCCGCACGTCCCTTTCCGAAATCTCGAATAGAGACCTTGCAGGGCCTCTCCTGACTCCAACCATGCAGCATTCAGTGGTCCCCACCTGACTCCAAGAGCCCGGCCCTCTCCCCATCGCGGATCATAGGATACAAAATCCTGTGCTTATGGTCATCTTTGGAACCCGTGGTCGTGGCACCTTTTTTCTTCCAGATTAGATGGCGGCTTGTGTAACAATCAAACGACAAGATCCCAGGGCACGACCCTCATTGCCAAAAAGGAAACTGCCTGTAGCTTCCCGTCTTCAACAGCTTAAAGCGGAATCTTATACTTCACGATTGAACTTTACGATGAAATTGAAAGTCAAAACTGAAAAAGTTTTCCCAAGCAGAGAACAAAGATGAGGTCCTGAGACCGAAAAAAAACAAAAAAAAGGAGGTACCGAGACAATCCTCCTTCTGTAACCCGGGACAGCTCGCACATAAAGAGCGGATCAAAGCACCTATGAGGCTATGACGTAAGTTTGGACAAAGAGAGACAAAAAGAGAGGTGGAATTAAGAGAACAGTTCAAGGGATGCCATGAAGTAAGCCACAACCAGCACAACCAAAGACATCAGCAAGCCAGTAGAGTAAATAGAGGCTTTTCCAGCAAGCCAGTAGAGTAAATAGAAGCTTTTCCAAAGAAAAAGTGTCATATGGAAAACAGGAGAATGCAAGGATGATCATGACAGTGCCAGTCCTTACAAGCATCCAACAAATCCACAAGAGAAATTGAAGAGATGACAAAATCAGACAAATTGAAATATAGTTGAATTCCACCTGTCCCATTCAGGAAAGAATTCCACAGATTTAGACTCCAGAGCCCACAAGCATAGGGCCTCGCTCCACGACACAGCACTCTACATGCATTTGGATGCTTTTCTGGACCCGATGCATTCAAAATGTCAGACTTGTCTCAACACACCTGGTCCAGAAAGCGTCCAAATGCATGTAGAGTGCTGTGTAGTGAAGCACGGCCCATAAGATATCAACAAGTTAGATTCTCAGACCCCGTCCTCCTCTCGAGGCATTCAGTTGTGACAAAAGTTGGCATGAGCTGAGGGGAAATTACAGATAGCATACTACCGTCTTCCACTGAACATAACGCATATGCATTGTATTTGAGTTTTCAGAAAACAAATCGGGACTATCGAACACATGTGCATTGTATTCGAATGTAAGGGCTATTCGAACAGAACGCATGTGTTGTGTTCGAATTCCGAATAAAAAGAATTCCAAATAAAAAGCAACCTATGCTTTGCGTTCGTTTACAACACATATGCGTTATGTTCGAGGGAAGACGGTAGTAGTACCAAAGGGTACCAGAACATGGACTTGAGCATTTAACAACACCTCCCTTCCGCCCCCCTACCCCGCCTTCCACACTGTAGTGTACGCACTGTGCGGAGTGTGCAGTGCTACGAGCTAAACATCTCTCAGATGATGATCAGTTCAAGAACAAAGTCTCAATTGGAGACCCAATACGTGCTATGGAAAAGGCTAAGCAATTAGCATAATAGCGATCTGAGACCTATACTGACAGGCCAAGCTCAGTTGGTACACCCATGAACTGTTGAATCACAGACCCAAGTTCGAATCCTCATGAACAAAACGATAAGCTCCTGCGATGAAATAATTCTGAATCACCTGGGGCCGGTCCACTCTATGATGGCATTCTCAAGCCCGTCACCCTTCAAAAAAAAAAAGAGAAGCAGCAGCAATTGAGACGAAAACGTTCAAAACGAGCATTATCACATACCTTCCTTCGGGTTGCACAGTACCCGCTGAACTGAAGTGTTGCCCCGAGAATGGAATCTATCATCGTTCCTAACATCCCTGCGAGAAGGGAGAGAGGGATAACTCGCCATTGCGTAGCCCTGGACGCCCCACTGCATTCCAGAGATGAAACCAGACCAGCCAAAATAAACCAGAGCCCAACGAATGCCCCACCGCAAGCACTCGCGGCAGTTCCCAGCAGCGTGATGCCCCCGTTGGTGCCACGAGGCACAGACTGCATTCATTCAGGACAACAACAACAATAATGATAACAACAAACAATAACAATAACAAGACGAACAGCAAAAACAACAAACCACGAACGGGCACCATTCTTAGCGAATAATACTTTAGCAGGCGGCCACGACAATACATCCAACACGACAAACAGGCATCCTTGTTTGCAAAAGCACCAACAGCCACATATCTGGCTGTGAGCCTGTGGCTGAAATCTTTCTGCTCAATATTCCTACGCTCTGAAAATCCAACAGCAATCAGGAACAATCGGTCCAATTATCAAAAAAAAGAAAAAAGAAAAAAAAAAAGAGCAATATGTCCAATTATCAGAGACATCCAGCAAGCCTTTCACTCAGGTGCAAGCTGACCAGCAGGTAGCTCTATCGGCATGATCCAGGTCAGCAAGAAGGCGCAACAACGGAGAAAAAAATGTGCCACACAACTAAAAAGATCCTCATGGACGGGGCCTAGCGCGGACCTCCAAAATTTGCACACCATCTTCACCCGAATAAAATGCATGGCCATTACGGCAGCGCATTTAGGGCAACTTTCAGTCCAGAATCCAGATACAGCAATAAAACTGCCATTTCGTCAAAATGGACATCTTTTATTTTTTGAACGAAATTGAAACCGAGTTTTTTGGCCGAAAATTCGTCAAAATTAGTTGTTCCTGAGGGTCCGGCGTTTGTAAAATGCTGGACCCCCTGGCTGTACATGGACCTAGCTTGACACCAGGTACCTCCAGGCAGTCCTGCCTGGAGGTGCCTGGTCTCAAGCTAGGTCCATGTACAGCAAGGGGGTCCTCAGGAACAGCAAATTTTGATGAGTTTTTGGCAAAAAAACTCAGTTTCAATTTCGTTCAAAAAAAACAAAAAGTCCATTTTGACGAAATGGTCGTTATAATCCCTGTGTTCCATTCAGGTGAAGACAGGAGGCATACACGCATACAAGTGTGTGCAAGGACACATTCTGTAAATTTGTCTATTGGAAAGAATGAACAACTCCACAAACCACAAAAAAAAAAGAAAAAAGAACCGACTCCACAAACCGCAGCGAAGCAGACAAAATGGATGGAGAAAAAACAAAGACCCCATCGAGTTCAGATATCCAACGACTAGTTTGATCAGACTGTAGTCACTGTATCTGTCTAAAAAACAAAAAAAACAAAAAAGCAGAAGAAGAACAACAACAATGTACCTGCCTAGTCCAGATGGCCAGGTGCATGACTTATATTCCATAAAGTCAGAGTAGAGATCCAGATACAGTCAGATCAGACGACTCATGGGCTACGTTTGACTTTGCCCCAGCCTCCCCCTCTTCGAGAAAACGAAGAGGAAATTTGGACCATTCCACGATTTTTGTTTGCGACTCTTGCACACGGGCCACACTAATCTTTTCTCCGTATCGTTGCACTTTCAGCGGATGCCCCAAAATCAACAATCTTAGATCGGTACAATTTGGAAGATAAGACATAAATAACCTGGAGACATATGACGGACTCATCCAACACAAAAAAAAAAAAAAAACCTGCATCCGAAGGCAAATACTACCATAAACACAGCGATAGCGGAGCCCCATCATCAACAGAAATGACAATAAGGTGGCCATGATATCAGCACACAAACTCGTCCAATGACGAACAACCTCGTTCTAAATAGCTGAAAAAAGAATTGAGAGAGTCTTCTCACACACACACACACACACACACACACACACACACACACACACACACACACACACACAGCGGTACATCTGCGGCAGAAGAAAGAAACAGGAGGGAGCAGTCTTATTTTCGTGGCCTTCACTTGGTGTTGAGCTGCCCATCACCAAGCTTACCTGAAAACTCGTTATCAGCCGAGGTCTGGAAGAGCTCAGAATCCCAATCTCTGATGCCCAAGTGTCAGCATTGCAGCACGCATAATGCCCCACAAAACCTCCTAAAAGGGCCGTCGCAATTGGGAAGCCCTGCCGATCAAGGCAGACATCTCTCCACCCCGTGAAGTACACATACGCTATGCAACATACGGTTGCCGTGGCACTGTTTGCCAACACCTGCATCCTAAAGCAGACAGCCAACAACAATCAGAAGAATGGACAGAGTGGGCATGAATTGGTATGGGGTCACCTGGCAGGGTGGAGAGCTGGGAGGAGGGGGAGTGTGTGTGGTTTCGACTGTCACAGCGACAACCTTTTTTCCACCCATGAATAGATCGAAAATTGATGTGTGCATTGTGATAAGTTTTCAAAGTGTCGAAAATGCGCTTGTACATGAAAAATGTAGAAGTGTTTGGTGAACCAAAAATGATTTTGCCTAAACAAATAAAAAGGATATGCAAAAATAAACTATCGATTATCTACCCAAAATGAAATAAAGTCCCAAAGAGCAATCACCAAATATCATCCGAACTCCATCCATATCCATCAAGAATTCAACTGAGTGGGACAGTGGTCACCTTTGTGTGTAAACACTGAGTTCCCACACATCCATTTGTTTGCCCTGTGGGTGGGGGGGGGGGGGGGGGGGGGGGGGGGGGGGGGGGGGGGGGGGGGGGGGGGGGGGGGGGGGGGGGGGGGGAGGTAAGTGCGTGTGTTTTGTCATGTTCACCATACAAGACCAATGGGTATTTTGTGACTCCCACAGAATTCCCAGCGGGTTCAAACTCCAAACAAAAACAACAATAATTTCAAAAACTACAATAATTTCAAGACAGCCAAGTTTCCCCATTTGCACTTGATGCAAATGATTCCTTTGGTTTTGGTGTGCAGAGGGGGGAAGTACCGGGAGAGTTGCAGCTTGTAGACTGTCACCTCAGGCCAAACGCCACTGAAACCTCCAAATCGCTCTGCAAGCCAACCATCATGTGTCCTAACCTCATGCACACACCCACATCCCAGTACTCTATTCAGCAGTGTGTAATGACCCGCCAAAACACAGACTGAGAACACTGCTGATTTCTGGGATTTGCTGCTGAAATGTATGCCTTGCTGATATTCCCGCATTCTGCTGTGATTTCTAAGTCTGTGTGTGTGCGTGCGTGTCTGCTGGTCTACGTGCCTGTCTGAGTGCTTGTCGGCCTGAGTGTGTGACCCACAAGGGTACTTGTTGGTTTAGAGGCCCCGCAGGGGCGGTACTTCCAGTGGGAAAAACACTAGAGTAGTTGGGTAGGCCCGCGGCAGCGGGAAAAACACTCAAGTTGCAGGTAGGCCGGTACCACTCAAGTACTGGTAGAAGTGTCGGGTACTCGAGGCCGAGCAGAAGAAGACAAAAAGTTGGCATTTTTAGAGGACCAGTAGCAGTAGGCTACAGGTAGGCCGGTACCAGTCCAAGTAGGGCCTGTACGGACGACATCAGAGCCTGCAATGATGCTTCCCTCTGAAAGGGAGGAGGTACCGGTTGCTGGGAGGCCGCGCGGCCTAGGAAGTCACCACCCAAGAGGCAAGGAGGCCGCTATATCTTCGGGAGGAGCAAGTAGCTCCTCATTCGCAGTGCACAAGGATTGGCGACTTACTGCTGGAGCCAAGCGCTGGACTTGGAGCGCTGCTTGGAGGAAGGAGATCAGCTGGACGCTCAGCCTGGCTATGGCAAGCAGCCCAGCATGACGAGGAGGAAGCAGGGGGCAAAGGAGGGGAGTGGTGAGGTACCTACCTGGCTATGGTGGACACCATCTTCATCACCTTGATATGCGCTGCATCTGGAAGGCCCCGGTTGGGGTAGTGCCACACCAAGGAAGCTCGAGGCAGAGTCAGGCATGGCGGCCTGATAACCAGCGACATAGCTGCTTTGTGTTGTCCTTTGCACAAGAGCGCAGAGCCCTAGTAGTCTGCCATAGCCTTGGCTTGTGAGAGGAGGAAGAAGGGGGAAGCCATGGCTATAGTGGACCTATTGTTGTGCTAGTAGTAAGAGGGAACTTCGGATATTGATTCTGGTTCATCCACTTATTGTTATTATTATTATTTGGAAGAAGAAAAAGATTGGCGAAGTCAAGAAGGAGGAGGAGGAAGGTTGAGAGAGAAGGGGGATTTGTCATTGGTCTTGCTGGTGTACATCGTCCTCTTCTTCTTCTTTTTCTTCTTCTTCTTCTTCTTCTTTTCTTCTTCTTTCTCTCTTCTTTGGTCTCTATCTCTTTGCAAGTGCTTTCATTTCTTTCGCAATTGAGTGGCCGTCTTTCCTTGTGAATTTGCACTTTGGAAACGACCAGGATAGTAACAAGTGTCTCACCTCCTCTTCCTCCTCTCCTCCTCCTCCTCCTCCTCCTCCTCCTCCTCCTCCTCCTCGCACACTGGCTCATAGTTGCTTTGCAGACCATCCCAGCCATCAGAACCTCATCACCAGATTGCATCTAGATATTTAGTCTCAGATGATGGATGCATAGGAGCTCGTTGCGATCATGGTGACCAATGTTCAAGGTCATCTGTCTTTGGTAGAAGGCTCCAGCACCCAACGGGCTATGATCAAACGCACCGACGTCCAGCTGGCCATCCAAGAAGGCTACACCTTGCAACTGGATATGTTGGGACGATCAGACAGAAGTACAAAATCATTTCGAAATTTTTGAACACCTTCGTGGGTTTCACATGACTTTTGTCACTTATCAGCCACACTGACGCCTTCAACAAACGGTGGAGGGCTCCAACATCCGACTAGCCAGGAACCGGCAGGAAGGGAGCCTGTCCCACACACTGGCTGTGGACGGAAGCCCCCTACATCTGAGGGGCCATAATGGGAGGCCTCAAATCCAACCGACTGCGGTGGGGAAGGGGGTAACCACACCCACAAAAACCTCCAGGGTTGCCGTCCCAGGATATGCGGTTTCGATCCTTCCACCATTGCCCGTTGGATGTCACATCCACTCCCATATCCGACATTAATTTTGCGCAGTAAAGGTCAGAGGATAGGAATGAACGCGCAAATACCCAAACAGCATATCTTGTTCAAAGTCTCCAGGCTCCGCCGTAGGTATGAACCTGCACATCTGGAGGACAAAGAACACTAAATGCAACAGCATAATAGCCAGATACCAAGCATCTGGTTAATAGCATGCCAACTGGTGTGCACATACAAGTGCCTATTTGAGAACCAGATCAGCAGTTCAAAATTCAAATCCTGATGGCCATCAAATGAGCAAATAGTGCAAATGCATAACAGCATATCAGCAAGCACTGTAATGCACCAGCACAATAGCCAGATAACAAACAATAGTGTGTGGACTCTGGAGTGGTGCACGCACTTGAGCTGCTGTTCGATAAACAGACCAAGTTCAAATCCTGACACTGTCAGATGAATACAATAACCTTAGGGGA